TCTGTAATGAAATACATTTTAAAAGTAACCTTCCCAACACTGTTGGTGAAGCATATCTGCACAAACATCTGATACCAAATGCCGAGCATGCTGGTGGAGGGGTGATGGTTTGAGTTTGTTCTACAGCCACGTGACCTGGGCACCTTACAGTCACTGAGTAAACCATGAACGCCTGTGTATACGCCTCAACCCAAATGAAATGCTGTGGCGGGACCTTAAGAGACTTGTGTATAAACAAAGGCACACAAACCTCAATGAACTGAAGCAACATTGAAAAGAAGAGTGTGCCAGAATTCAATGTGAGAGTCTGATAAAGCTATGTAGAAATGGATTACTTCACGTTATTGCTGCTAAAGGTGGTTCTACGAGCTACTGAGTTCATGGGGTGTACTTAGAGTCAGGTGAAAATGCAGCGTCATGAATGTACGCTTTGACTTGTGAAGTAAGGAAGCACACTCTAAACCCTTTTATTGAAACATGACATTCTTTTTACAAATTCATTCACATCATTCATGTGAAGAAATTCAGAGCTTGACAGACCTGAGATGACAGTGAGTCACTAAGAAATGATTGTAAAATCATTTAGCAAAAAGCTAATAGTTTTAGCTTTTGATTCTTTGTGAACATCCCGCTTCTTTGGCCTATACCAGGTAAATGGCATTTATCCATTACCATTATTTATCCTTTACCTATCTTACCCCAACCGGTTGTGGCAGATGTCCACCAAAGGGAGTTTTTCCTTCCCACTGTCGCTCATAGGGGGGTGGGGGGTGTCATATGATTGTTGGGTTTTTCTCAGTATGTATTATTGTAGGGTGTACCTTACAATATAAAGCACTTGTTGTTGTGATTTGGCGCTGTATAAATAAAATGGAAGTGAATTGAACATATCGGTAGAGTGCGTCCACTGCTTCAGGTCTTACTTAAACAAACTGGAACTTCAGTAATTTAGCACAAAGGCCTCCAAATCTGAAGCAATCTCTTTTCCTCTTTAACTGACCAACGTGAAATTCCCAGTACTCAGAAACTAATAAGAGTGCCAAAGCTGGAGGCCCAGAGGCAGACAAAATTATTACACAGCATGTATTGTTTGCACTGTAACTCCAGGCCTACATCTAGATCTGTGCTTATTGCTTATAAAAAGACATATCATCTGTCATAGAACAAATCAAATTAAACAAACTCTCCTTCATTTTTATATAACTTTAGCAGCATAGCCAAAGGGTGGCTAATTTAAAAAAGGGCTCTGTACCTGCAAATAGATCCAAACTGGGTTAAATATATAATATGTGGGAATCCAAACTTACTACAAACACAGCCCCTCCTTACACACCACAGTTTGTGTGGTCTGAAGGTTTTGGCTTCAGCTAGTTATGAGAAGATAATTCCAAGCTTAAGAAGTGCAGACACTGTGATGCCTCTCTTAGAGGCTACTGTGGGAAAGATGCCTCCCCACGCTCACCTGGGACCGATCATGACGGGTCTGAAATACAGGCAGGCCAGATCTGTGAAAAGCTTCAGGTTTTTGACTACTTTTGGAGTATCTGTGGTGAACAGTTTTCATTATTTTCTTACCATTTATAAAACCAAGCAATCGATCAGATCACACAGACAGATCAGTGACAGCAAAAACTGATTTTCCTGTTTTCCACTGCTCTAAGATACACAAACACAAGTCATAATGAAAACTTTTGTTCAAGAGGTACAAGTGAAACAATTACGTTATCTCAAAAATCTGTTATGAAAAGTGACACTGCGCTGACGCCCCAGTGTATGTTGTGTAGAACAGAATTGCACAATACTTGTTACCATGTTTTCTTCTTCGCAGTGGGGTGCAAGTATAAATATCCCCTGCCCACCTTACTTATGGGTTTTCATCTCACACACACAAACCCTCACATATGTACATAAGGGCTGTGTCATGTGGTATTCTCGTGGGTGTTATTATGCTCCTGCTCTGGGGCTCTGAACATTGCTGGGATGTTGGTGTGTGACGGCACATGGCCTGGGTAGAGGAGTCGGATCTTCTGAGGGATCCTCTGCTTTATGACCTATGCCTGGCGGCAGCTGAGTACACAGTTGTTGTCCAGTGATGGGCCTGTCTGCAGTCACAATGGGGAGCTCGGGTATTAAGCCCCCGCTGCCCTGCTGAGAAAAACAGGTGCATCACAGGACGATGGAGGAGATGGAGTGAGGGCGAGGTGACAGGTAGAGCGGGGGAAAAGGTTGTTTTATGATCTGTCATGAATAACTCAATCTTGCCTTCTCTCCTACATTTACTGCTACATCATCACCCTCGCTGCTGATCTGCCCCTGCTCTGTATTATGCCCAGCGTTTACGTCATGATTTTCTATTCACCACCACCTGCCCTCATCCCCAACCTCACCCCCTCCATTGTTTCACCAGCTTTTAATAAACTAAAGGGCAGATTCCTGACTGTAGTGAAGTGAGGGGGGGTGGGGGTGTACAGAACCAAAGACCTGTCCAACCACACTCACACAAACACACACACACACAGTTTGGCATGCAGAGTGCCAAGCTCTTCCACTGTCTACTGACGCCAGCTCTCAAAACGCACACACAAACTTACTCTTCCTCTCTGTCTAAAACACACACACACACACATTCACCCTCTCTTACCCTCCCCACACGCCACTCTCCTAAAAGCTAAGCTCCTCACTAAATATATATCCCCCCCCCCTCCCCCCAAGTAAAGATAAGACAAACAGTGTGGATTTGAGAGCACTGTACAGCCAATGACAGGCGGCCGTTTGAGCTGGAGCTAATCTTGTGTTAGCTTTACAATTTAGGCTTCTCAGAAACAGTGGGAAATAAGAGGCACTGAGATTGGAGAATACACAGGGAAGGCATTTGTGTAAATATTCTCCAGTTTCTTTTTCTTCTCATTTAACCAGAGTGTGGGAGCTGTTTGTTGACCGCTTTGATAAAAACAGAACCCCCTAATCTTCCTGAGTCAACACGCATGCACCTCAAATCCCAACTCCATCTCCTCTGCTGTTCTCTCCATCCGTGTCAGAAAGAAGTGGGGGGAAAGAAAAGCTGTGGTGAGCTGTGGGCTAAAAAAGCTGTGCATGTAACTAGATCAATCCTCAATGCAGCTCCAGGCCTAAGGCGTTTTTGAAAAAGAGGGAGCGAAAGGAGTCGTGGACGCATTTGTTTTATCGCTCTGGACCGGGTTTCTTTGGGCGGCAGATATCTGCCACATGCTCGTCTGGGTGGTTGGTGTTAAGGATCCCCTTGATGGCCTCAGGTTTGTGTAGAGCATCCATTTGTCAGAAGCACATTCCTGTGGCAGTGAGACATTGTGAACTGCCTATCGGAGCTTCAGCACTGTCCAAATAAATATACTCACAATGGGCCCCAGTGTGTGTGTGTGTGTGTGTGAGAGAATATGAAACATGAGACACAAAACCAAGTGTGTGCTGCTCTGCCAGAGTAATGCTGTCTATCTGCACCTGGCTGAATGTGCAGTGTTTCAAACACACCTCCTACTCCTCGTCTTCGCCTTTTTCTCTTCCCCAAACAGTTCAGAGGTGATTCTCAGAGTCTGCGGCGCTTCTTTCGTTGCCGCGCAAACTGTTTCTCATCTGGTGTCACCGGAAGTGGACGGAGATGTCTGGAGGGCTGTTTGCATCACACGGTCTCAATCGCTTTCTTTTTTCTGCCCCGTCTTGTGTCATGCTCTCACTCTCACCTCCTCCAGCCCTTCTTTTCTCAGCCTCTCTCACACATCTCAGTTTCATTCTGTTTCTCCTATTTATTGTGTCCTCCTCCTGGCTCTGCCCGTCTCTTTCTTTCTCAGATGTTTTTTTTCCCTTTCCTCCTACTTGGGCTTCTTCTCCTACCCCACTCACATTATCCCACACTCTTTTGTAGCCACTTCATTTTTCATTTAAACACCTTCTCCCTTTATCATTCTCACACACACGCCTCTCCTCCTCAGTCAAATCAAAGTGGTAGCTCGCCTCCTCCTCCTCCTCCTACCTACCACAGAGTCTATTGTATCTGTCATCATGTACTTCTAGCATAAGCCAGCAGCCTCGGGGTCCAACATAACAGGCCAAGTCAATCATACACTTACAGCCATGAACGCACACACCTGTAAAACACATATTCATGCATCTCCGGAGATGTTCACTATTAACGTCCCGCAAGCCACGCGGGTTCCCCACTATCCTCCCTGCCTCGCTGTCAGTGCCTGATTAGCAAATCCACTGGCGCCAACACAAACATGTTTCCTCTTATTACAAATCACGTCACACTGCGTCCTAATCACAACCACTTGCAGTTTATGGACTCACACGGTGTAGAACCGCCCTGCAGTAAAACAGGAATGCACACCTGAGCTTAGTGATGTGCAACAGAGGACGGGAGGAGTAGGGGGGGAGGAAAAAAAAGTGAGCAGGAGTGTCACTCAAACTCTCTTTGAGCGAGCCCATGTGTGATGCACGTACAGCTACGTAAAAATGCACACACGTGAAACACATCCAGGGTATACTATATACTATTATTCACTGGTATACTGGTATACCAGTGAATACTTGGATCCTCGATGGCATGCCTGATACAGAGTTTGATTAACTACATTTGCAGCGCACAGAGTTATAAAAAAAGACAACAGGATGCACCCAAATCTGCAGGAGTGCAGATTCAGAGGTGTGACACCCAGCCTGATGGTCTTACCTTCAGTGCAGTGACCGGCAGCAGAAAGACAGCAGAGGTATCCGGAGAAGCTGCATGCAACACTGGATTTGTTGTTCAACTGTTGTTTCCCAGCCAGCTCCTCTCTCCTCTTGTTTCTACCTCTCTCTCACTTACACACACACAGACACACACTGATTGTCTGAGCGCTCCTCTCTCCTCCCTCTCTCTCTCTCTCACCTCTGCTTTCTCTCTCTTTCTCCCTCCCTTGCCCCCCCCCCCTCTCCCTTACTTTTCTTTAACAGGGAAATCACCAGACAGAGGGAGCAGCCTGGATGCTCCCCGCCTGTGAGGACGCTCATCACATGTGGATCGTGACACAGCAATCGTATATCATACGCCCTTTTACCTTCCCTTTCTCTCGCAGGCACACCAGCTGACGCACCGACATGCTCCGCAGCAGCAAATGGGAATTCCAGGCTTGGAACGACTCTGCCTGCCCCATCAGGAGAGAGCTGACCAAAAGCTGCAGCCAGTTTTTTACGAGGTCAGGGTTATAAAACTGTTAGCAGATTTAGTTTATTTAAAAACAACTGGCCCCTGTGGCCCTTCCTCTTCACGCGGCGTCCCTCCCCCCCCCGTGACACAGGGGGTAGGGGCAGAGGGATTCGCAGGTGTGGTGGTGGTTTGGAGGGGAGGAAGGAAGGGGAAGGAGAGAAGCATATTTGGGATTGCAACTCTGAGATACCATTTACTTCTATTAGAAAAGCAAAGCTACACATACGCTGAATATATTGAAAAAGGAGACATTATGAAAAGCGCCAAATCATAACCGAATGAAGGACTTATTTGCCAGAAATCACTCTGTGTTTAAAACACAGACACACAACCCGGAGGGGAGGGGAAATATGAGCACAAACCTAAAGCCAGTTGTATGTTTAGAAATGATGAAAACAAACTGCAATATAGGAGAGCCCGAGTGGATCCAACTGTAATAACCTCATCCATCATTCTCAAGCGGCTCAATATGAAGACAGACCCTGGAAATATTAAAGGGGCACACTGCTGTGAAGAGAAGGCAAATAATGAGGCTTGCCCTGAAAGTTCTATATTCTCTGAGGCTGCGCGCACAACAGTCGCCTGATTATTGCAGTCAATTACGTCAGTGACCTCGCTTCCTTTTCAGCATTTCTGGATAGAGAAATATCAAAAATATGACAACTAACTGATGTGTTTGTGGTACTGGGATACAGAGGGAAAAGGGTATTTCACAGTTTTTACACAGGCACAGGGAGGCAGAGCCTATTAAGGGACAAGCTCGTGCCATTTTTCATCGCCTCATGAAATAAGTAACGAGTTCATGGCCCACCAAAAAAGGTGTAAAAGAATAACACGTGTTTGGTGACAGCATATGCTCAGATTGTCATTGTATCGCACACAAACATGTCCTTGGTACAGGGAGTAAAAATTCTCAGGGGAAATAAGGGGAGCGAGCTGCACCACACTAAGCAGGGCTTACAGGGTCAAAAGTTTAAGAAGCACAATTACCTGGAAGGCCTCGGCTGACCCCCGAATTTCTCACCTTCTGTTCCCTCTCTCTCTCGCACAAATACACCTTCGACAGAGGCAATTTACAACCAGCAGCAGGAGGTGGGGGTGAAAACTTATATGCCACCAATGAGCTCCTAGAGAGTGAGAGCGAGAAGCACACGTAAGTGTCTTGTGTTTGTGTTTTGATTGCACTTTCAGGCATTGTAAAAGATCGGGCCGGCTGTGAATGGTGTCAAATTAAATGGTCATAACTCACCTGGACTCAGCCTCTCCTTGGCTTAACTCGGCTTGTGTCCACACGAGAGGTGGTGACAGGGAGTAAATGGCTTCAGATAATGTATCATAATATCACATTAAGAAAACGGTCAGTGGAGCCAAATGTGAATCCCATATGCGAGGAGAAGAGGGTGGGGTGGGAGGCAGAGAGCGGAGGAGAAAGGCCAGAAGACATATTGAGCTGAAGAGGGATGCACTGAGCTGACATACCACTGCAAAAGCAGCCTCCTGACAACTTGAACAACTTCTCTCTTTGTTCGCCTCCATTTTAGTCATGTGTCACCGCCTTAAGATTTTTTTTTGCTTCAGTTGCATGTGACAGCGGTCCATGTCTTTATTAAGTCCCACCTTGGCTGTAGGCACTCTGATCCTGCTGTCCCTGTGAGCACCGGCACTCGAGCTGGTCTTCAACAGGATTAACAGGGCAGGGTCACATCGTATCACCTGGGGCACACATTTTTTGGCCTTTGGGCATGGTATCCTAACACCAGCCAAGAATTTATGGTGGTGATGAAGCTCTGATGCCCTGTCCAAAGATGTAAACATTGATATCTGTCAGTTTTTAACTCGTTTCCTTCGGAGCAGCTTATTTCGAGCCACTTCATATCGTCTGCGAGACACATAAAACAGCAGGCTGACTGATGGTGAACGCACACATATTCAGTCTTCATTTGGAAGCTTGACTTTCAGTATTATTTGAAGCTGGATGAAAAAAAATAGAAGTGGGCTATTATTTTTGGAGATTTATGCAGACCAGTGTACAACAGAAAAACAGGCGTGTTTGCCTCAAAAGTGGTCTCCACTGGGAGCCAAATGCCTGACAAAAATAGTCCCATAGTTGTAATTTAAAGCTGGTGTAGAATAACTTTTTCTGTTCTTGACCAGGTAGAGTAATGTCACAGCAGCTGCCAAAGACAACTTGGTGTTTGATGAGCGTACCAGGTCTGCCTATGGAGCTCAGGGAGAAACACAGTTAGCTCAGAATCAAGGGATATTGTCTAGTACAGCAATAAAACTCTGGTATCAAAGAGAAACTGCACGGCTCAAATGGCGATGAGGGCGCAGTGAGTGCAGACCACACTGTAGCTAATGATCTTAACACTCATTTAAACCCAAAACACATAGCTGTGTGCATGACATTGCATGGGAAATCAGAACAAATAAAGGGATATAAGAGAGAAAGTGAAAAGATTCTGAGATATGGAACAAAAAAAAAGAGCAAATAAGTGCTTTCCCATGTGCACCTGGGACCACTCTACAGGGTCTGACACTGTAGAGTGGGGTCCAAGGCTTAGCCCTCTCTACCTCCACCCTCTCTCTATACCAATGGCCATAGGCACTGAGCAATCACCGAAATGAGGGAGAGCTGCAAAAAACAATCTACTAAACTCACTTCATTCCCATAGAAGTACCATTACAGTGGACATTAAAGTAGCTGCTCTACCTCTGCAGCCCACTTGGGACTTCTGAGTCAGAATCAACAGGTGGAAAGGCATCACGTTTAGTGAAGGTAGTTTGAACTGTGCTACAAAAACACTCTACCTGTGTTCAAAAGGCAAAAACAAAAACCAGCCAACAAACAAGATACCATCTAGCTCTCATTTCCAAAGGTTTTGCAAAGTTTTCATCACAACATCGTCATTCCATCTCAAATCAGATGATCAAGAACTCAAAACAGAGATTTGTTCTATTTGGATTAAACTATCTGCTCATATTTTGTTTTTGTGGTAAAACTTGTTATATTTCCCCAATCCAGCATGAAAGTTGAACAAAAACAGCATTTTCTTTATTTTTGTGAATAACAATTTCATGTTCAAAAATATTCTACGTTTTCTTTTGCATTTTTGGAAAATATAACTATTCAGACATTGTCACTAATTGTCTTTTGCAATGTAAAGTTTTTTTTATTCGTGGATTCTTAATTATAGGACTTATTTATAGTCCCATAATTCTAAATAAATATATTTTAACTAGTAAATATTCAGATATTTGAATACAAATGAAAATTTTAGGCTTTTATCTTTAATCACTTTTGAGATAATCGTGTTCAAACATGGTCTGAGATTTCAATGTGCAAAAAAAAAAAAAAAAAAATGAAAATGGATAAATGGACCATTTCTCCCAAAATATATCTTGAAAGTATTTGATACACAAAGCTACAATTTCACAGCAATCAGAACATATGTTCAACCTTTGAAGCATAAACTTTCTAGGCATTTTTTAAATGCAGAAAATGTTTTTAAAAATGTGATGATTTAAGAAGAAAATGGAAAAAATATACATACATATTTAACAAAATTATTTTCTGACTTGTAATTAAAGTCCCACCTGTAAATGTCATGCTTTTGATTTATTTAGACGCGACAATCTACTGATACTTTTGTTTTTGTCATATTTGCTCAATCTTTTGTGATGAAGTGTTTCATGTTAAAAGCTTTTCTGCATGCTTTATTTCACAGTTTTGTGAATTTTCTTTCACAACGTGAGACTTTACAGGTTGGCTTGAATTTTTTTTCTTTCATATTTTACCTAGCCAGTACTTACATGTACTTTGATGTATGTGAGGGCAATGAAAAATTCAGGCTTTTATCTTTAACAGTCTTTCAGATATGCATGTTTATCCTTTGCCTCAGTTTACAATATGTGACAAAAAGGCCTGAAAGTGGGCCAACGGACCATTAAAAAAAATAAAAATACAAATAAATTAAATATACACATATTTTGAAATTGAAGTAAAATGAGTATATCAGAGGGACAGTTGAGGTTGAGCAGTTTGGACAAAAAGCTGGTTTGGATGCAGGAGGAATACTGAAATATTTTGAACAAAGGATGTTGAATTTGGAGCTGCCAAGAAAAAGGCAAGAGGAAGACCACAGAGAAGATTTATGGACGCACTGAAGGACGACATGCAGAGGGTTGGTGTGACAGAGCAGGGCGGTGCTGGGGATAGCATGAGATGGCGTAAGTCTGATGCCGTGCCTGTATCTTTTTTTTAATGTTGTGTAGGTAATGACTTTAGCTAAACAAACTTGATAATTTTAAACAACTACAGTCTTAAGCTGTGTAGAAAATCATTAGCAGGGCAGATTAAAAGATTATACCAATTACTGGCAGATTGTTCCGAGTTAAGTGCGCCAAAAACTGCTGCTTTGGGGGAAGAGTTCTGAGAAAACAACATCTGAACACAGGTGCTTTGTGATGTGTGTGTGTGTGTGTGAGTGTGTTGTTCCAGGTTTAAGATTTGTTGTCATGAGAAAAGAAAGGCGCCCAGCCAGTAAACAGAAACTCCCCCCTCTTGTTCTCAGATATCTGTTTAGACTTCATAGATTAGCCATGACTCCATCAGACTTGCATTAGGCCAATCACGCACATAGA